GTTGTTATAACCAGCAGTCCCCACTGTACGGACACTTCCAAAGAGCCTCCCTTGCCTTCGGGGAGTTCCTGACTGGAAAAATGTTTTTTTTTCAAGCATCTTAAGCATAGTGATGTCATTCTTACACTTAAATGAACGAAAATTACAAAACTCAAAGGTGGAAGAAAGAAAAGGATCAAATAATTAGTACAAACGTGAAAAATTTTACATAAGGTAGGTGTTTTACCATTTGAAAATCTGGATTGTATAGAAAAAGCAAGACCCTCAGATAACGAGGGATATTTATACTCCATGTTTATTCGCTCTCTTGAGCCATGAATTAAACCTATCAGCCAGGAGAGAAATCCTAAAAAGGAGCACAGCTTCTGTTGCCAGGGATTCCAAAAACAAAGGTAAGAGGAAAAATATGAGCATGGTTTTCACAAGACAAATGATACTTTTCTCCAGAATGCTATGATATGTTCAAGCCAGAATTCCCCATTATAAAAACACATCCCCCAAGGTTGATGGAAATGTGTTATTGTGCCCAACCATACACGTGACAGTATGCACACACATGCACACACAATTTCAACCACGTGTTCACATGTATAAAAATGGAACAAGGTCAGAATTTGATTATTTGGGGGTAAAGACATGTTCAGCCTTAACACCTACTGATAGGACACCCATATGCAAGAGAGTATCAGTCTAGTTCTGTTCATCCTACTTCTGCATCTCATTCTCTTCCTAGTGGCAAATGACAGGGATCAGCGCTGCTCCTCTTCAGAGGCTGCACGCGTGGAGGTTTGCTAGAATCTGCACCATGTAGCAGGGATTGAAGAAACCATAGCGTTCTAAACGGAAGCCCCAGGAGCCAGAAGCCCATTGATATGCGGTCCTCTAACATTTAACACGCCCTTCCTTGTCTGTGAGAACAATAAAATGTGGGCCTGAAGCAGGAACTGTTAGATTCACGTGTTATACTCTAAATGCACCTCTTCCCTCTAACTCCTCTTTCCTGCCCATCCAATCAGTTATGAATTCCCATTAAATCCTCTTAATCTCCCTCGAATCTTCCCCCTTCCCCTGCTCCTCCCTCATCACCCTTTTTAAGGACTGTGGAAAGCCTCCTACTTAATCTTTCTGCCTGCAGTCTGTCCCCCTACTCTTCCCTCTGTTCTCTACAGAAGCCCAACAAACTATGAAAAAGACAAGTTTTATCATGTCACTTGATTAAAACCCTTCAAAAAGCCATTTAATAACATATTTTAATAATGATTTACATAATCTGGCTGTTGCATCATACTTTTATCATTTACCCCAAACACACACACACACACACACACACACACACACACACACACACATTTCCCAACACCAAGGACCAATTCCGTACCTAATGTAGCATCTAAATAGAACATGCTTATACCCACCTCTTCCTCCAACCCACAACTCAGTGGGGAGGCCCTCATTTGAGATTCCTTGCTTCTCCCAAATGCCCTGTAGACTCCAGGACATACAAGTATGGGCTCTACTGTCGACTGCCTGGATTCCAATCCCACCTGTGCCTTTTACAGCTGTGTGATCTTCAGCTAGTTTAACCTCTCTGTGCCTCAGTCTCCTCATCTGTACAATGCAGATATTCATGGTGCCTACTTCAATAGGACTGTGTTGAGGGTTAAATGAGTTAATATAGAAATGACTTGGAGGAGATCTGCCACCTAATCATTGCTCAATAAATGTTAGGCAGGAATAATAATGAGATGTAGCTGAACTGTTCTATGCTCCATCTGTAGGCCATGAAAATGTGGCTGTGCTTTGCAAAAACAGGTGTGTCACTGTCAATCCTACATGGTACATGACCTATGTCACATCTTCAATACACTGTTGATTCAAACCAATCAAAGATTTCCATCATCCTAAAGGGTTTTCAGACTGCTCTAAATTACACAGGTTGATTTCCTCCTATGTGACTTTAAAGTCTTTTATACACATACGATAGATAGATGTAGATACAGATAATATAGATATAGCTAGAGAGATACAGTACCTGCTGTATATCAGACACTGTGCTAGGGACCCAGAGAGACAAAAGGAAATGAGAAACATAATCTAACCAGACTCACAGGTAAGGCAAGTTAACTGCTATGAGTGAATGAGCTATGGTCTTTCTATTATGCCAAAAAGCAAGGTGACCTTGCCCAATATCAGCTGAGACCATGTTTTTATTTTAAAGGTATGCTCACTGTAAATGCGTCACACCTACTCACCCCCAGGAGTGGAACACTCTCAAAAACCATTTGGTTAGTGCCCCAAGAGCTCCTGTAGCTCATTTGCTTTGCACAGAAGAAACTGCCAAGTATGTGACCTGCCACAATGAAATGTACTTAGAAAGTGCTAAGACAGTGTTATATCCAGGCTTGCATTTAAGGAGGGGGGGGGGGCACGGTGGGAAGCTGATGGTCTATGTTGGAGACGCTGCAGCTCTTTGTAAGCACATTATGGTTAGAACCATGATAGCATGTAAATCATCAGGAATGTCCATCTTGGATTTCTGATTGCCAACCAACATCCTCATTAGCACAGCATTTTTTAAATATCTACTAAAGCACCTATACTGTTTTAGGTGTAAGGCCCTGATCTGATTTAGTTGCACCAAATTATTTTCAAATGATATAGCAGAATCTCATTACAACAAAGTTTTGTTATTAAGAAGGTTCCCATACATCAGGTCAAAACATGTCCCTCTAAAATCCAATAAGCACACACTCTAAAAGCCCCACTAATGTAGGCAGCCTGGATATTAAATGTGACTTCTGACTCCAAGCTGTAAGAATTCCACTCTATTTGCACTTAGGCAACCCTTCTTGGAAAAAACGCAGTGTTTCTAGTTAGTCATCTCACTGGTCCACAAACATTTTATGCAAAATGTATTATTTCTTCATACCTTGCACTGCTCAGAAGTGAGTGACAAAAAAAGTAATTTGGACAAGCTGGTATTATCTGCATTATAGATGCACATAATTATACGTATACAAAATAGCACCGGCAGAATCAATGTCTCCTAAATGACATCAAGCTTAAATGCAAAGGAAAAGCTAAAATCTAGTGGTGAAAAGCATAGACGTTGTTACCAGGGAGCCCTGGATTCTAGTCGTGAATCTCAGGAAGCTGCCTAGTTCCTCTCAACCTCAGCTCTCTCATCTGTTCAATGGTGATCATAAAATATCTCCATGACAAGGTTGTGAGACAGTGAATGTGACATGCAGGATGTCTGGGGTAGAGTAAGGAGAAGCAGACACCTTGGTTTCCTCACCCATGACTGTTCAGCTTAACATAAGAAAGTGCATGTTGGCTCTGGTTTTCAACTGAGACATAAGATGGACAAGCAAGAAACTCCAGAAAAGAGATGGGGGCGAATCCTCAAACTGGACAAATCCAAAGCTGATAAACTACATCCCACCCATTAAGGCCTTTCGGAAGCTGAAACTGGATGGTGGAACCTTTTCTCTTTTTCTTGATTGTTGGCTAGTAGTGCTGTCTCCTACTGTAATTGATAAACCAATTTCTACAATGAATCATCAAAATAAGCTTAAATCTGTCTGGAAGAAAGGCTGTCTGTGAAAAAAGCCCAAAATGACTCCACTTCTTGAAATAAAAATTTAGGTGGCCTTCACTGGCCTTTCCGTTTTAATCTGGCACCAATCAACAATTCATTTTAAAGGTATTGCACCTTTTGGAAAACTCAGTGAGGTAGGATGAATAGACACTTGCTACGTTCTAGGTTCTTCGTCTAAATATTAGAATGACAAACCATCCGTTTCTTAAGATTTATCTAATTGTCCTGATTAGACTATATAACCTGATTAATCGTCAATAAAGTTTGAAGTCATCCAAGAAAGGTACAATATTTACCTTTTTCTCCTTTCAAATTTTTACAGGGCAGTGAAAAGGTAGGAACATTTCAGGGCAAAGAATTGGGAAACTGAGACAAAAATGTTAAAACATAAAGTATGGAAAATGTGCAGCTGGCTTGTAGATAACAAGCCATTATCTTCCCCAAATTAAGGACATTTGAGAGCAAATGGTTAAAAGCCTCCCTAACCAGAGAATACAGAAAAGAAGGGGAGTAGGAAGAGAGAGGGGGGTAGTCTTTCTCACCCACAAAACAAAGAAATCAGCCATTTTAGGGAAGGGGGATGGAAAAAAGGGCAGTTTCACTCCCTAAGCAGAAAAGCCAGCAGTCTTGGGGATTGGCAAGATAAAGTTGCCAGGTGCTTCTCATGAATTTTGGGAAGGTCACAACAAAGTAAAAAGGGTCCTTGAGAATTAATCTGTACCAAAATATTCAGCAGAGGAATTCTGAAACCTATAGACAGAAGAGTATGTAACACCACAAACCCCCACCCAACTCACTCTTCAGATTAGCTGAGAGCCCATCTGTGCTTCATAAGCGGGATGTATAGATTTGCTTGCTTTGCTTTTTTAAATAAACATGCATGTTTTAATTTTTAAAAATAAATTCACTTTAACACAAAGCATATTATCTGGAGTCACTCATTTGAGTTCATTCCTACGAGCATGACAAGAATCGAGGTGGGGACAGTCCTCGGCCTCTGACTAAAGGGCTGTCCAAGAACACCTCTCTAGTGTCTGTGAGAGGTGCCTGTAACAAAACGAGTTGGTTTAATTCCAGGCAGCACAGCATCGGGACAGAACAAAGATGGAAGAACACACTTCGGCAGGATCCTGGGCTGGGTTTCTCTGACCTCATAGGTCTCCTCTGACCATTTCACAAAAGGTTGAAATGGTAGAGGGATAAGAACTGAAGAGATGAGTCACTGCATGATTATTATTTTTTTATTTTTTAACAAATATTTTTTTCTTAAATGCACAACAGGCTCCAAGACAACGCTTCATTCAAGCTATAGGTGGCAAGAGAAGTCATGACAGGGAATCCAGATGTTAAAGCAGGAATGGAATTAAGGCTCACCACTGCCCCAGGCATGAGGAACAGCTCACTTTTGGCCAGATTTCTTAATTCCATCTGTGGCCAGGGGGCCCTTCCCTGGGGCTTTCGCTGTTAACTCCTTGAGTTTTTTCTGCTCCTCTTTTTGGTTCTGCTGGAATGCCTCATCTTCCTCGGCCATCTCCTTGGTCTGCTTCTTGGGCTGTTTCAGGGGCTTCTTCTTGCCACCTTTGCAGCTGGACATGGCACCTGCCACCCTTCCCCAGACCCTGCCACTGGAAGCTAGGACATTTACCTTCTTCATTTCTTTATCATGATTAAGAGGCAAAGTGAGGTTCATAATATCCATGATATCTGTAGTGATTACAGTGGGTAATGGGGGTGGATGGAGGTGGAAGAAGGCACAGAGGGAATAAATGATGATGGAAAAAAACATATATATTGGAGATTTTGAATAAAAGATAATACATGTAATACTCTCAAAATGAAAGTCATGAATGGTGTATATACATTCAATGGGATACTACTCAGCAATACAAAGAAATGGATTATCTATACAAGCAACAACACAGATAAAACTCAAACGCATTGTGCTCATATCAGATTCAGTACACACTTTATAATTCCATTTCTACACCATTCTGGAAAAGGCAAAGCTATTAATGATGGAAAACAGAGCAGTGGTTGCCAGAGGTTAAGGATGGAAAAAGGGCATGACTACAAACAGGCAGCATAAATCAATTTTTTGGAGTAATGGAACTGATCTGTATCCTAATGTCAGTGGTTACATGACATAATGCATTTGTCAAAACTCATATAACTTATGAATTTTACTGCCTGTGAATTTAAATATGAAGTTTAAAATAGAAAACATACTGTTTAGTGAGGCCTAATCTTAATACTATTTTAATCTCTGGACAGGTGATTTCTCTTGAACATGAAGAAACTTCATTAATAAAACCTCAGAAGTTATTTTTTTTTGCATTTCTATTGAGGTATCATTGACAAATAAAAAGTGTATATATTTAAGGTGTGCGATATGATGTTTTGATCTATGTATACACTGTGAAATGATTGCCACAATGCAGCTAATTATCATAGCCATCACCTCACAGTTACCTTTTTTTAATAGTGAGAACACTTAAGATCTATTCTCAGCAAATTTCAAGTATATAATAGAGTATTATTAACTATGGTCACCATGCTTCACATTAGATCTCCAGAACTTATTCATCCTATTAACTGAAACTCTACACACTTTAACATCTTCCCACTTCCCCCATCGCCCAGCCCCTGGCAACCACCATTCTATTCTCTGTTTTTATGAGTTTGACTTTTCTTAGATTCCATATATAACTGAAACCATGCAGTATGTGTCTTTCTGTGACTGCCTTATTTCACTTAGCACATATCCTGTAGGTTCACCCATGTTGTTGCAAATGGCATAATTTCCTTCATCATTTTTTTAAGGTTACAAAATATTGCATTCTGTGTGCGTGCGTTTGTGTGTGTGTAGTATATGTTATACCATAATGTATATTATTATACTATATATGTTATTGTATTGTATATATATTATATATATATGTTATTCTAGTATGTGTGTGTGTGTGTGTGTATACATACTATTATTTATCTACTACATCCATTGACAGACACTTAAGGTGTTTCCATACCTTGAGTATTATGAATAATGCTCGAATGAACACATATACTGTTTTGAGATACTGGTTTCATTTCCTTTGGTTATATACTCAGAAACGAAATTGCTGAATCACAAGGTAGTTCTATTTTTAATTTATCAAGGAACAAGAGAACCCATTGTCAAAAACTGTAGTATATACTGTAGATTGTCTCTGTACTCCATTCCACCCTTCCTCTGTTGAGGAAGTCAGCAAGCTAAACGTTAAATTTCCAAGACTTCTTTGTAGCTGGGTTCCGATTAGAAGTGGAACAGATTAGAAGCACTTAACTATCTGAAAGGCAGCGGCCGTCTTCCTGCTGCCACCGCTCCTGGCAAGCAGGTCATGAAAATCAAGAACTTTAGAGGTGGTTTTTGAAGAAATCGCAGCAGTGGTCTGACCTTGAACTTAAAAGTCCAGTGCTGACCACACCATTTCTTCTCCAGCCTTTTAGACCATTTTGCAAGCACCCAATCCCTGTATTAAATATTTTCTGGCTGAAACACCTAGAGTGGTTTCTTTCTCCTGCCTTGATCTCTGTTGATATAAATGCATGTTTATTTATAAAATGGCCTCATGTCATGGTGCTGACAGCCAGGATTATTTGGAAGTTTCATAAACATTGCATTTAAATTCAGCAATCCATGACCAAAGTAAGCTACCTTCTGTTTTCCAGATTTTACAGTACTACTCAGACTTTGCTGTGTTAAAATGATGAAGTATGTTGGCTTAATAAATTATCTCTCTTTAAAAAAAATGTTTTTTTCCTTTACTGATTTCAGAGAAAGAGGAAGTGAGAGAGAGAGAAAGAGAGACAGAAATATGGATGAGAGAGAACTTCGATTGACCGCCTCCTGTATGCTCCACACTGGGGATTGGGCCCACAACCTAGGCATGTGCCCTGACCAGTAATCGAACCCGTGACCTCCTGGAGCATGGGTCGACGCTCAACCACTGAACCACACTGGCTGGGCAATAAATTATCTCTTATAGGTGACAGCTCTAGGCTGATATCCCACAGTATCAAACCTAGCAGAAAAAAGACTTAATTTCCTAGGTATCTCAAATACAGTTATCAGAATTGAGCTTGATAATCCTGGTCGGTCAGATCCAGGTATTCCATCTATTCTATCCCTAGCTATAGGAGGTCACAGCCCAGGTCACTCCCATCACTAACAAATGAAGACAGGACATAAAACCTTTTGCCCACTGACAACTTTAGCATGTCCTTCATAGATTTTTTTGCTCCTTACTTGTAGATTTTAAATGTATTTTTCCATCTCTGTTAACAGTTAACCACATTAGTTAAGCCTTAAATCAGTGCTGCAGACTTGTTTAAAAAAAAAAAAAAAAAAAAAAAAAACTTCCCATGAGGCTTGGCAAACATAGCCTGAAGTACTATTAGGAATAAGGCTAATTTTTGGGTGCCTGGAGACTGAGCTCCCTGCATTGTTACACCTCTAGGGAAGATACTTCAGTAAGTTTAATAAGCATACCCACCTTGCTAAAACAAACACAGCATTTTGGACAAGGTACATAATAACAAGACTCAAAGAAAATGCACCAATGAGGGTAAAGGTCATAAATATATGGTTGAAAATGCCTTGTATCTAAGGTGCACAGTACATTTGTATTAGGAGAATTAATGATGTATCTGTATTTTAGGCTCTACAGGAGTAAAAAAGGTTGGCCTGCGCTATTGAGATGGTTTCTTTGTCTCTAAAGTAGAGGTGGCACATGGCAGTGAATTTTGATTGTTTTTGTCTCAACACCATTCCCCCTTCTATTGATAAGAGTACCCTGATGTTCATCTTGAAATTCTCCCCTGTCTGGATCTCAGAAGCAAACCTTGTGACCTGGGCTATGACCTCCCATTGCTAAGGATGGCATACTCTTGGTTCCAGAAAGAACAGAATACTGGATCTGACCGACTGGAGTTAACAAACTGAATTCTGAGACTTTATTTGATTCTTGGGAAGTAGAGTCTTTCTTTCTTCTGCTGGGTGTGAAACAATGGGATATGAGCCTAGAACTCCCAATGACTACCAAGTGAAGCCAGGGAACTATCCAAACATAGTAGAAGGCAAGTCAGCGAGGCAGAAAGAAACCAAATACAATCAGACTTATAGAGACCCTGGAACCAGCTATGCCTGAAGCACTTCCCAGCTATGTGAACCAAAAAATTGCCCTTTTCTTCCTTAAAATTCCTTAAGTTAATATATTAGTTCATTTTTATTTGTTGACTTATTTTTTTATCACCAAAACAGCCTTTACTAAAACATTAATCTTCATCCCAAATGTATACTTTTTGTGCATATTTTCATGTTTCTAGAGCAGACATTCTTTACTTTTAATGAGATTTTTAAATGAGTTGTATTCCCCCAAAAGGTCAATTGCTTTTCTAAATAAAAATACCTCAAGCCCTGGAAGGTTTAGCTCAGCAGTTAGAGCATCAGCCCGAGGGCCAAAAGGTCATGGGTTCAATTCCCAGTCAAGGGCATGTACCTGGGTTGCAGGTTCAATCTCTGGCCCCAGTCAGGGTTGTGCGGGAGGTAACCAACTGATATGTCTCTCTCACATCTCTCTCTCCCTCCCTCCCTCCTTTGCTCTCCCCTTTCACTCAATCTGGAAATCAATGGAAAAATATCCTCAGGTGAGAATTAACAAATAAAATAAATAAATAAATAAATAAATAAATAAATAAATAAATAAAAAGAATACCTCAAAATTGATTTAAAATGGTCCTTTAGGCACATTATTATTTTTAAAAATTAAAAAAAAAGACCAATTTCTACTTCTGAACAGAAAAAGTAGATATAGAGTAATCATAGAAGAGATGAAAGAAAGTAATTCACCATAGAAGGTAAGGCGTTTAAGATCCTTGTTGCTCTAGGAATTCTTAATTGTTAGAGACACTACCCCAAATCATATCAAACATACCGCACAGCAACCAAACCAAACACAGTTCTGTATACATGAGGATGATTTCAGTCACAAGTCGATATGTTGTAGTTGATAAAAGAGTTGATAAAATGTCTTACCTGGGGGATATTTAATGAAATACCTAGTCATTTTAAAGTTGTGGTTCTCAACTCATATTTTGGAGCCAATAAAACTTTTTCAGAACTCATCTCTCTTTTTTTTTAAAGGCTGAAAATGTCCTGGAACCTAGGAACTGTGACTAGAATGCCAAATAGGATAGAACAATTAAAAGGATTACTTTTTAAAGTTGCTCCCTAAGAATATGCACACAGTGTATGTTTTCCTCTACTTGACACTGAACTGCCTGTTTGGACTGTGAAGTCTGAGGCTGTCTCTGCTGCCCTGCGGAGACCACAGCACAGGCTGCTTCCTCTTCATTCCCAACGTCCAGGTTCTACCGCTGCAGTTAATGGCTCCCTAATACATTTTTCCCTTTTAAAAGAAAATTCTGCAATTTGATGTTAATCTTCTAATTTATAATTTGTTACCCTTCTGTGGCAATCTTCTAATTTATACTTTTGAGATCGATACAGTCATACAAACATTTCAGTGACTCCAAACAGAACAAAATAAAAAACAA